GCGGTTGTCTACCGCAGGTCGTCGTGGATGCGCATGTGGCCGAATAGGCCCATGCGATGCCTGAGAGTGCGAGGACAGTGTGGGCAGCGGAGGCGAGTGCGGTGGGTGTAGGTTGGTGCTTCACGCACTGGTTCGCCAGTCTCTGTGCGATGGATTCGCAAGTGACCGACCAGGCCGATGTGTGAGGTGAAGGTACGGTCGCAGTGAGGGCAGGTGTAGTCCTGATCCCCATTCCTGAAGTCGGGGGAGATGGTGGTAGTGTCGGTTGCTGTGCGCGGGACAGTCGCCTGAGCGGCCGCCGTTGGAGCAGTGGGCGAGGAGGAGGATGATGATGGAAGTGGTGGGTCAGAAGAATTGTCATGGCTAGTTGGCAAAGGTACTAAATCTTTCAAATACGCAGACATGAGCGCTTCTCTCGTTATGGTTAAATAGAGTTAACGTTCCAGGTAGACTACACAATCCGCCCTGAGGATTGTGAGCGTCTGCTATGCCATAATCAGCAAATGAAAGCATCCTCAGCCTGCCATCAGCTATCAGCTCTCTAATACCTGCTCTTCTGACGATAGATGTGCTTGCGCTGTCTTTGGATATACAGGTCGTGAACGTGGCTGCCCAGTCATTTTCGCCTTTCTCATCCATTGTGCTGTTATCCTACTCAGGTAAGATACTGACCAAGTTTTTGCGGTGGACCAGGGGATGTGGAGGTACGCCTAGGTGCGGGACTTACCGTATCAGCCACCTGCCTGCGCCCCCACTTTCTGTCTTCTTGACCCTGTCTTGACACCGGGTACAGGTGGAGAGTAGGAGGAGGAAGTGCGATAGACGCCGCTCAAGTGTGCACTTATTAGAGATTAATGCATGCGTAAGTCACTATGCCCGCTGTCACCCTGCTGTAAACACCACGGAAGACATAGTAGTGTACGAAGGTCGAACTATCATTACGCAATTCAGGGAGCTCAAAGCTTATCCGTTTTTTAAATATATCTCGCAAACCCCAAACTGACAAACTTCACCTTATTGGAATCCACGAAATAAAGCCAACCGTCAATGTTTTTATTTTACCGAGTCATTACCCGTAATTTCTGCATGCTTTATCGAATGAACCTGTTGATTGATAAAGAAACAGTAAAATCCTTTTAGCCTCCTTATTCTCAAAAAGCTAAAAACATGACTGATTTCTATATTTCCATGATTATTCACGGTGGCAAGTAGATTCAAAACGGAGACGTTATTTGGATGATAGTTGTACTTGCGTTAAGCCATGCCTCATAACGAATAGAAACCTAAGTTGGATAGCTTTCTTTTTAAAAAGACATTTTGCAGGGGTTGGTTTAAAACAACAGTAATATATTTCAGCACGACAGTTCGACCGTCGTGCTCGATGATGCCGACCGTCTAGTCCAGAGCAAGGTCGTGCAGGCACGGTGACTTGCGCGTGTTAATTAAGTTGTAGTTTGTAGAGCATCCACCGCATTTTGTCCTCCTCCTCCTCCTCCTCCTCCTCCTCCTCCTCCTCCTCCTCTTCCTCTTCCTCCTCCTCCTCCTCCTCCTCCCCTGCA